TTGCCTAGACACGTATTATATTCCTTGAGCTGTTGTATGTATAATTTGTCAGTAATCTTCTTTTAAAAAAATAAAATTGACATCCTTTGGAAAGTTCATTACTATGCTATCAAAGTTATTAACCTTTTAAGTCCACAAGTGCAAGGTTAGTGGGTTGGACCATGGTTTTCTATCATGCCTGACAGGAGTTGGTCTTGTTGTCATCTCTATAGAGATGGCAAAGAGCTCTGGACACTGGGCCCAATACTGGCCACCAATTGACTATTGTTATAATGAACTTTGGTTGCATGTGGCCCAATAGTATACTAATCTGGATCTTTTGTGATAATCACTTTGAGGATATCAGACCAAAATTTCTTTTGATGGGAAAATACCATTTTACTATTTCCCAAATGCCCTGACTTCTTTGCCTTCCCAGCCCATTTGGTCGGCTTGTTATTAGGTAATGGACCTTCAACTGTATATTACATATGCTTTTTATCTAGGAAATTTTCCTTTTTGGGGAGCACCACTGACCTGCTATGTATCTAAGGCCCTTCTCCTTGAATTTAGTCACAAGTCCCTTCTCACAAAAATAGACAGTGGTATCAGAGCAAAGCCATTCTTTATATTTACCCTTTCATAGGATTGGCCTTAACCTATGAATTGACTGTTCTTCCTTCTCTGCTCACCTTCTCACCTCCAGCCCATCCCTTCAGAAACAGTCACAGCCTTTCCATCTGTTCTCCTCAACACTTGGCTAAAGAAGCGAATTTTTCTATGGGATTGATGCTTTGAGTATAAATCTGGAGCTTTGCCTTCAGAGCCTGACAGGAATAAACAAAAAGACAAATTGTCGGTCTTTGGTTGTCACAGCAGGGACTCATATCATGCCATCAGCTTTCTTGTCCCCAAATGTGAAAAGTGCCTGAAAGACCACAGTAATTGAAAGGCAGGCATAAACCTCTCTGGTTTCTCAGATATTAACAGAAATTGCCTCCTAGTGAGGTTGCTTTCTGGGCTTCATATACTGAAAGAGAAAACAGGCCATTCTGTTTCTAATGCAAGTATCAAATACACTTTAACCAATCCATCACAGAAGAAAAATGCCAGTGGGCTGATAGGTAACAGAGCTAATATAGTTGCTCAGTTCTTATCTTATTCTAAAAATGGTTCTCTCTCTCTCTTCCTTCCCCCTTTTTCTCTCTTCTTTTCCCTCTCTCTTCCCCTCCTCTCTTTTCTTTGTCTCTCTTCTATATCAGAAAGAGAAAGTTAATAGATACACCTAAAATATACACTTCATTTTTTACCCATGGGATGCTTTTTACCTGATCTTCAAGTTTACCATGACCACCTTCACTAGTTATGGTACTGCCCTCACAAATAATGCAAATACCTAAAGTGGGTGTTATGGCTTAGGTATTTCCCCGGGGTGGTGCTTTTGGTAGGTGGGACCTAGTAGAAGGTCTGCTGAAGGCATTGTTTTCAAAGAAAAATGTGAGGCTCTGGCCTCTTTCTCTCTTCTCTTTGCTTCTTGGTTCTTGAAGTGAGTGGTTTTGCTCTGCCACATGTGCTCACCACGGTGTGACGTCTTCACCAGAGGTCAAGATTCAAATCCTTGGGGATAATCAATTTGGAACCTCCAAAACTATAAGAATCTTAAAAAAGTGATTGTCTCAAGTGTTTTATTGTAATAATGACAAGTTGGATATTTGTGAGCATAAGAAAGTTGTGTTGAAATAGAAAGAACATGTAGAATGATAAATCATAGGAGCCAAACATTTTTTGTTCTTTTTGAGATGGGGTCTCCCTGTAGCCCTAGCTGGCTATGTAGACCAGGCTGGCCCTAGGCTGGCCTTGAACTCACAGAGATATCTCTGCCTCTGCCTCCTGATGGCTGAGATTAAA